TCGATAATCGAAAAATTTGAAATTCGCGAAATTTGAAGAGTCACCTTACTTTTTGAACACACCTCGTATGTAAATAAGAATGAACAAATATTTTATGATTTTTCTTGTAAGAAAATATTTTATTTAAATTCTTAAGTTTTTGAAACAAAAAAAATGTAAGCGAAATAAGAATTTTATAAATTTTATTTCTGAAGTTTCCAAGCTTAGGAAACTCTGTTTGGACTGGTTGCTTAAGCCAACGAGCAAGCTTAGCTTAGCTAACAAAGTGCTGCTGTATAAATCAATTGTGGTGCCCTCGATGATGTACTGCATCCAACTATGGGGCTTGGCTTCGGACTCTAACGTCATGAAAGTACTAAGGATTCAAATCCGGGCGTTGCGCATGATTGCAAATGCGCCTTGGTACGTTAGAAGCAAAGCCCTAGAAGATGACGTCCACATTCCCTCTATTAGGGAACAGATAAACAGGCACTCGAGTCGGTACAATGATCGTCTCACAGCTCACACAAACCACTTAGCTTCCTCGCTGGCTAATGCAACTTTCAGAAGGCGTCTAAAGCGAAGGCATCCAGCCGGTCTCTGGACAAGAGGACGCCAAATTTCTCGAGTCCTAAAGCAGTAATCTAGCATTAGCATTTAGCATTGATCTCTAGTTATATCAAAAAAAAAAATTTCTGAAGTAGTGCAATATAAAATGACTTATTACAATTATCATTTCTGTTTATCAAAAAATAAGTGAAAGGAAAATTAAATGTATATATTTGTTTTGGCTTAGAGGATAAAAATAAGGTAGAATAAAGTATAAATATATACTATATAAATAACAAGTATAATATATAAATAAATATATATATATATATATATATATATATGAAAATAAATACATCGAAACAAATTGCTGAGGTAAAATTTAGCTTAGACTCCTAAAACATAATACTACCAAGATATGATTTTTAAAAATAGTATATAACCAGTTTTCCATAAGTGCAAAAAATGCAAAGGAAATATGTTACCATTGTTGTTCGAAATCATTAGGTATAATAGGCAGAAAACAGTCCTATAGGACAAACAATTTTAAAATAGAATAAGGGAAGTTGATCTTAATTATTTGCGTAACTAAAGGATTTTACTTTAAAAAATTGTACAGCTATTTTTAATTATCTACCGAGGGCTGTGGCCTCTTGATTAACAAAATATGTTTTCAAATTTATAATATATTGGCCCAGCAACATAAGTCGCTAGGCCTATCAAAAATTCAGTTTAGACTCATTAGAGTGCTCCTCTCCACGGAAATCTTTAGTAAAAGGCGAAAGATTTATTCGACAAATTGAAGAGAAACCAGAGTGACTTACGGTGCAAGAAAGACTATCTTTAGGTTTAATACAAACCAGAACTGCTTGGGAATTATTAAATGTGTGCTTCGGGGAGGAATGCAGACCCAAGGCAGCTGTCTTGAACTCGCCAGTCTACCTGTGTGCAGCATTCTAAGGGATGCAAATGGTTATAAATCCATAGATAAGTTGATCCCTGTTAGAAGAACTATTAGGTAAACTTAAAATCTATAATCAAAAAATCTGAAATAATGTTCTTTATCTTGGATATCGTATTGTGTAATTTCATTTCGTCACGCTTTTTGGGTTAAAATGTATTTTAACTTGATAATTTTTCAGTCGGTCTCATATTCTCCACGATGATGGTTTCTTTTCTGCTGGTTATTTTGGCCTTAACTAACATAAGTGAGGCTACACCTATTCGACGTTTTTGCGCCTATACATCCCCCGATTGCTATATGGAGTCTGGTTAATCTTGGAACGCACCCAAAGACCCCAAGGGATTCAAATATCATCTAAATATCATGATTTTGTATATAATTATTGCAAAATTATAATACAATACCATCCTAGTAACTAACCCGTTTGTGATAGTAGAATCTTTTATAAGTGAGCATTTGAATCGGGGTTCCTACCTGAATGATGCAGTGTTACCCAAGGAAGACTTTGACCTTGGCTGGAAATATACCCCTAAATATGCAATAGTCTTTTGGTTAAATTTTTTTCCAATTACAATAATTCTCAACTAGTTCTGACTGTAATGTCACCATGTTCCATATTGAGGGATGAAATAGTTATCGCTTCTCGGCCTTATGGCTAAGATCAAAGTGTAGTATCTGTTCTTATCAGCTTAACATCTGATAGTTCCTCCATTGGAGGACAACAAATGTTAAACTGATTTTTGTAATCAGACGGAGTGCTAGGGGCTTGCTCCACCTCTGTCAAGGGTTGGCCCGGTATTGCAGTACCGCCGGGACTTCGGCCCAACTGAATAATAAATTTTAGCTATTTCTGCATAAAACTACTTTTACTCTGTGTGGCTGAGTTAAGTCCTTTGCTGTTCGTCGTTGGAGTCAATTCCTGTATAACATGCAAATTGAAAGGATGATTGCCTGGATAGTTTTCTGCTGACATTGCAAAAGTGTCCTTGGCCTTACTCTGGTTTTGTTTCCTTTGGGGGAGGGAAGGAGACGACAAGCTGCTTTTTAGTTTCTGTATATCGAAAATTGCTTTGCCTTTCGTCGTCGCGTTGTCAAGTGATTTGGAAAATTGAATTGATTAATTGTTTTGTCAAATGTCGGCACTTGTCCTTGGATTGGTGAACGATGGTTGGTTTAACTGAACTGATGTACCACAATCTGAAAGTTTGGAATTCGGAATACTTTATATTGTGAGCAGAGAGTGTGGTCCCTGCTGCAGGGTTAATATAATAAGTCAACGACAGTTTTTCATCTGATTAAGAGAACAACTTTAATTACATTTAACATTTTTAACAATAATACTTTTTATGTAGTATGTTTTTTAAATTTTTCACTAAAAATATAAAAAAAATTTTATTGTAAAAGAAAATATGTAATCAATATATTTTATCAATAATCATTGAATTTTTACGTTTAAAAAATAAATTCCAAATTTTTCTAAAGAATGCAACTAAACGCCCCCTATATTTCATTTAAAATTTTTGCTTTAACATCCGCCATCTATAGGGCATACACTACACTTAAACTTAATACACAAAGTAGACGTATAAATTTCCCCGTCGGAAAAGATTAGGTTTGTGTCTCAACTAGAAAATTATTTCCTTTATACCCTTAAATGTTCCTTGGTAAAGAAACTGGTGGCAGAATGGGAATAAAAAAGGAGTTTAACCCGACTGAATAATATCCCAATATCTTAAATTTAAATAAAAGACCGAAGGCTCTAGAATGTGAGCTCTAAGTGTAAACTGAATATTTAAAATTTGATTTATATCCTAGTTTTGAATTCGTTTGAAGGAAGTTAAGGGAGTAGCTTTAAAATCAAAAACAAATTCCAAACTTTTATCAAAATCCCACTTTTGTTGACTAACCAAGATATAAATGTAATTTATGAATGTAATGATAAGAAATGGTATTTAAACTCTTCTGTAAATAACTTTAAAAGCTAAAGTAAAAATGGTTATTTCCAGTTTTCTTTTTCCTAAACTTACGCACTTGAGATAAAATGCGTAATTAAAAAGCTGGCTTTTGAAAACTGTTGCAAATATTTCAGTTTGTCCTTTACCTTGTTTTATCTACGCCCATTTTCAATTTCTTTCATCGTTTCCGGCTTTTCTCTTTGGCGGGGCTTTCTATCTGCGTTTTGCATAAATTTTCACTTTGTTTTTATCAAAGTCTGTCCTTAATTCTTCTACTCGTCGTTTTTTTTTGTTAAACTTTTCTTTTGTTTTTGTCCATGTGCCTGAGATTTTTCTATTGAGATAATATTTTGTTGTCGCCGTTGCCTTGTTTTTTAATCCTTTAGCCATTGACTGCGACAACGAAGGACCCTTTCCTCTGTGGGTTTTTTCCTGTTTGTTTGTGTTGTCCTGCGTCCTGGTTGACTGCATACACGCGACACAACGCGGCGACTCGGCGGACATTTTATAGTTATTGCCCCGAAAATTCCCTAGATGGTTTCATCCATTTTCTATGCCGTTTTTGGTTTTATTTTGTTTGAATGAATGTGCCGGTCCGTGCCATGGAAATTGGGGCTCTATTGTTTTATAGTCGCAACGGGGAGTTATCAATGCATAGACCTAGACTCATGATGAACACGTTATGTTGAAATGCCGCCGGTCTTCAGACTGAGAAGGGTGGAAGGCAAACATCATTTGAAACCAAATTTCTTCGGTTTTATGGAGGGCTCTTACTCGTGTATGCGACTAATCAAGTTGGTTATAAAAAGGGAAAGAAACAAAATTTTAAATTGCTGATTGGAACTGGAACTGGGCACGGCAAAGCTCCTCAGGGAATCAAAGCAAATAATGAATGGTATATTGTTTATGGAATTTTTTGTTATCAACTGGGCTTAAGGTCTCTTTTTAAAAGTTTACCCAAATTCCGATGCTTATATGGTGCAGAATTAACTTATATTTTTGTGTATTTATAAATAAATAAATCTATAAATCTGTTTATATTAAAAGGGTATTTATTATATTTTACTTAACTAATTTATTTTATTTATTTAAATCATTTGGAAATATATTTGATAACAATAGAAAACATTTCTTACCAAGTTAACATAAAGAACTTCCTTTTCCAGTCAAATAATATCCTTAAGAAAAATATCCCTTGGTGACATTTCCCCTAACCAATTGTGACGTCACGCGTCAACCTGTTAAACCTGTGGCATTCAACGGTAAACGGATCAAAGACCTAGCACAAGGCTACACGGGAGAGAATTTCCTTTAGAGAGAGACTAGCGAGTCCTTCAACCCTCGTCCTGGACTGGTGGTGCATTGAACCGAAGCCGGCTAGCGGGCGGATATCCTCGAAGGCTAAGGTCAATTGCAGTCGACGGAGGGGAAAAAACCGGCAACACTTCCAGTGAGCGGCAAATGTCCCTTTTCTGGGAAATTTCACTGTTGCTCTGTTTTTGCGAGTCCTTCGCAGGAAGTTCTTCCTGCCAGTGCTTATTTGTCTGTGGTGGCGCGCACTTCGTTTCCACCGCTCGACCGCACGCGTTCGTTTTTCACTTCATTACTTTTGCGTTATTTTTACGTCATTTCGTGAGTTTTTTGGGTCCTGGCCAAAGGAACTCGGCATTCTTTACCAACTGTGGATTAAAATACAAGAATGTCTCCTTTTTCCCCAATACGACCAGCATAAAAAATGTGAAGAATTAACAAATATATGTGCAATCGTCAAGTGATTTGTTATGCAAACGTGGCAAGAAGTACGCGGCACAGGCAACACTTTATGCATAGTAAATTAACCCCTGCCAACGCCACGCTTTTAACCCATTCCGCCGCGGCAAATATGTGAAAAACAAAAAAAAAAAGAAGGAATCATAAATGCCAGAACACACACATTCGCCAGGATAAGCGAGTCAAAATAATCATAACCGCCGCCACAGGACATTGTCTATGAATGTCGGTTTGCCGTTTTGGCACCGCCGCGGCTTCCGTTTCCTGTTTTAATGTTTACTTTATGCCCGGCGAAAAACATGTCCTTATCTCTCTCACACTCACACTCTCGCTCTCTCTCTCTCTCTCTGTCTTTCTGTGATGTCTGCCTGTTTGTATGGTTTTTTAAGCTAATGTAGTGACATTTTAGGCGCCACGATATAATAGATAATAAAACGTAATGTCGTCTTTTTGGCTTAGGCACCCGGAAGCGGGAATGTTGCGTTTTTCGGGAAATGCCTCCTTTTTGGATTTTGGTGCGTGCCCTCGTAAGATTATTGCGCTTGTGGGCGTAATAAAAATCAGTCGCAGAAAATCTCTCGTTCGCTGAAAATGTATCAAGAAAGAACAACAACAAGCCATCGTCATGCCTTAAATTAGATTGGATGATGTGCCATAATGAGGATCTCAGAGTGCCTGTCTTTGGGTGCGTGTGTGTGGGCGGCTCTGTTGAGTCAAAGGATATGGGGTATATTAATTTGTACGATATAGGGCAGAGCTTACTGTGGAATGGATTCTGACAAGGATTTACCAAATCTTTATGGCCAGCTAAAGCTAATCTTTATGTATTGAATTCGATTAAAATTGGATGTTTAGGATGGTTGATTTATATTTGATTTGTGATTTCCTGTTAAGCCTGTGTAATTAAGCATGCTAAAAAACAATATCAAATATTCACTGTTTAGTTAGGCAGACTTATGTATTATTCATCAGTAGATTAGCTCACTGATTTAATTAGATACGGCGTGTGAGCTTTTAGGCCCAAAGGTATGCAAATTAATTATTCATTTTGCAGGACTATCTGCAGCTAAATCGGAAAGTTCATTTTAAGTATTTCTATTTTCATATCTAATTTAATGTAATTTAAAGAGCATTTTTCATACTACCTCATGGGAATTTCTTTTCTATTGATTTCAATTTGATTCAAAAACCAAAACAAATTCAAATTCAAGTACATCCCCAAACAAGACTTCCCTTATCCATCGGCATTTATTTTCCTCATGTGTGTTTGCCTTACTTATTATGCGTCAAATGCTGCCGAAAGTAGAAGTGAACACAAGTGCAAGACGTGTTTGTCTAATTTTCGGAAGCCAAAACTTCCGTGGACGTGTCGAGCAACATAAAATCTGCTTAAAGTTTATGCAAGCAATATGTTTTCTCTGCGTCTTAGCAAAACGCTTAGCGGAAACTTACTGCAGTTTGTTATTCATTTACTATGAGCTTGAAAAGAATGTGTTTTGGAAAGTGTTTAGAAGAATTTAGAAAGGCTTTTCATTGAGAAAAGAGTTGACCTAAACAATTTTAGAAAAGATAAAAACTCATAAAAAATTAATCAAAGAGTAAAATTATGGTAGCATCTTGGGCGGGACTAAGTTTGCTTTGCTTTCTAATCATACCATTTACTGAGTTCAAAAACTTAAAACTTGTAATTAAACTTTTTCAATGTAAAGTTCCTCCACTTAGTCTTTTCCTCAGATCTAAGCAAGGCACTTGGAAACATTAAAGGAAATCTTTAAATGCATTCCTCTTTCTTTCTCCTTGTGCTTTTTTAAGCTCAAACTGCATTAAGGATCTAGAAACTTGCCTTCCGTCCATATGCGGACATGTCAGTTAAATTCAATTTTCCACTCGCAGCAATTAAAGCCCCCATGGAACACTACCACCAAGCCACCCATCGCCCATCCAAACCCCCTGACATGCGTTGTGTCCCACTGTGCCTGATATGTGCTCCTCTCACTTCCGGCGTAACCGGAAGTACTCAAGCAAGCATGTAAAGGAAAAAGGGCAAACAAATCCAAAATAAACAAAAATCATGGATACAAAGCATAAAAAAAAAACAGAAAAATAGAATACAAGTAAAAGGAGGAAGGACGAAGGACGAAGGGAAAAAAGATGCTGTGTGTGAAAAAGAAATGCTTGCGAAGCGGAAATTAAGACCCACTCCAGTGAAACGTGGAACGACACGCCCCCGAAAACAAAGCTGCCAAAAGTTCGTAAACAAACACATGTCTCGTCTGTCGGCTCCCCCCAATGGCCCCCGCTTTACAGCAGGGGAAAAAAGAAACCCCACCAACTGTGTGTAAACAATCCCAAACATATCACATTTTAATCCGATGTAGTGGAAAATTGCGCCATGCGAGACAAACAGCAAGGAAAATTGTTTCCTTCGCGTCTGCGAAATCCTTACAATTGATTGTACGCAATTTTTTGTCCTTAGCGGATTAGTTAAGACACGTAATAAGTTTTGGAAATGTCTTCTCCGCTTACGTAATTAAAAAACCCAGGGGACGATGGCAATGTCGTCAGCGACGGCGACGAGTTCAAATGCGAGTTTTGTTGTTAGCCTTGTTAGCAGCTTTCGACCCATTTATGTTAATGGCTTTTCGTGCACCTGGGCAAATCCTTACAAATGTCCCTCTTGCCATCCTCAAATTGAATAGTCCTTCGTGCGTCGTCCTTCGTCCTGCTGGTGCGTCCATTTCGTCGTATGGTGCTAATTTATGAGCTTGAGGCGTGACCATATGGTTGCACATCCGTCTGCAGGGACACTTGGCTTCGCCTGTTTATTTGCTCAATTTATGAAGTTGAAATATGCTGCCGCTGTCCACCGACAATGACTTGGAAAATTGTCGAGGCGGAGCTTGGCAGTAACTTTAAATTAGTGCAAATTGTATGCGGTCTAGCTTATAAATATTCAAAGGTCTTTCGATTGTTATCGGGCAGGACAAGTGGTGGCTATTTCGCTAATGGAGAAACAACTCATCGCTGATACCTAACAAAAGATGGGTATTTTGGTTGCGGAATTAGCTTCGTTAGATTTGTTACTATAGAAGGTAAAGGTGTAAATTTATTTGGATTTTTTTGGTAACAAAAAGTTGAAGAAATGGTAAAACTGAAAAAGGGAAATGTTTAATTAGAGATAAGTTTGATATCAATACTCTCCTCTAAAAAGAATATTTAAGTTCTTACTTCAAAGAGTTACCAATATCAAACCTCTTTTTTATATCCAACAAGTAACTGATTTTCCTCCTTTCAGCAGACCTTCTATAAATATTAATATACAGTGAGTTTATTTTCCCAGCTAATTTCGATAGCAGCTGACGCTTGTTAATATGCTCTTGATAAATATTTATACTTCATGGCTGAATTAACACAGGGGCCATTAAAATTCCGCTAATGTTTACAGAACTTCCGAGGGTATAGGAAACCAGAGAAAAATCTTGTTTTCATTTCCTCCGCTAGTTTTTTTCTTCCTTCGTTTTCTTTTGCCTTTCCCCCACCATAAATTGTCTATTGCTGTCATACTTTTAGGCATTTAATAAATTTTATGACTTTTTTAGGAGGGTTGGGGGTTGGGTAGAGGGAAAATGAGTGGGGCTGGTGTTTTAGCACAGCTTTGCTTTGCTTCCTTTTTTTTTTAATAACATCCGACGTAGTTCCCGCTGGTTTTTCGCTTTTTCCTCGTTTTTCGCCGTTGTCCGCCTGGGGATAAATACACCATGCCTGTCTCCAGACTCCAGACTCTCACCATCCGGCTGCTTTTCCATCCACTTCTTCGAATTGCAAATATGGGTATTTATGCCGCCCGCCCCTTAATACCGCCGTCCCTGGTTTGGCTCCCCGAAGTATGCAACAATCTTTTATATGAGTTTATTATGTATGCTTTTGCTTGAAACACACAATTTCCTCAAGCGATTTCCGTTTTTCCCCACTCGATGGGTCTTATTAAATTGCCCCATACCTCTGTCTCTGTCCAGCCCCCTGCGCTCCTCATTATCCACCGACGACTGCCTCGTTAAGTAACGAAAATATGATGACTGCTTGCAAATTGCGCTTTAATTGAATTGCACATAGATTCTGCTTTAGTTTTTCTTTTCTTTTTATTATTTTGTGCCCTCTAGCTTGGCAGGAAGTTGAACGTTGCTTTTGTGGCACTTTGCAACGCCTCCCCCTCTTGCGGCATAACTCAAAAGTCTTTAGAAGTGTTCCAAACTGTCATACGCATTGTAGTTGGCTCTTTTTTATTTCTTTGGTTTTTTGGGTGGGCAGGGTTTGACACTCTTTTATACCCTATAAACAGGGAATAAGGGTTTGTAGTTCTTTAAAAATATTTGTTATATTTTTTAACCAAAATTCAGATATTTTCTTTAACATTTTAAGGAATTTGTACCCATAAAAAGGGTAAAGTATTAAAAATACATTTAATAGGATTTTCCTTCAGTATTTATTTTTTCATCGCCATACTTATACTTTCCTTTTTTTCTGTTTGAATAACATTTTTGGTTTGCCTGGGCTTTGGGTGCAATAAGAGCAACTGGAACAGAGAGAAAGAAAGAAAAGAAAAGCGTGCACTTTTCCAAGTGGGCTTTTGTGTGAAAAGCGAGTCGAGGAAAAGTAAGCAAAGGGCGGGCGGCTGAAAGGGGCTGGTCAACTTACTAGCAAATCAAAAGCATTTCTAACCAACTTGGCAGCGAAGTTTGCACAGCGTGTTGAGCGCAGAAAGCTCCACTAAAAAGAACCGAGATTGAGTGCAAATAAAATGATGTCATGAAGTGGGTGGCGGTTGGGCTAAAAGCCCTGGAATGCATGCTCCACTTTATTTCAGCTATCAACTCGTAAAGTTTGCGGCTTGATGGCCTCCAGCAAAACGTTGGCTCCCAGTGGGTGAAAATCTGCTACGTTTTTTGTCTTTCTTTTTTTTTTTTGTTTGATTTTGTTGGTTTTCTGCACGACTGGAAGAGACCACGGCAAAGCTGCAATTACAAGTTGAAAAACCAAGGAGGGGAGTAAGGCCCAACTGAATGCACAGATCTTGACAAGTATTTTGTCAACTTTGACTGCTGCCAGCTGGAAGCAGAAGCAGAAGCAGAAGCAGATGAAGTGCGAGTAACTTCAACCTCAAAGCAAAAGTGTTTAACTTTAAGTCCTGCCTTCTGCCTTTCTCCTCGGTGTCTTGGTGTCTTTCACTTTTTTTCTTCCCTTCTTTTTTTATGTGAGTCGTCATAGAAACTGAAAGTGTCAGGGATTAGGTGAAGCTGGAGTAGGAAACTAGCCACGTGGCTTGGAGATGAGATTAAAGGTTGCGGGAAAAGATGAAGTTGGGAAGTTTTACTTTTTGATATTTAATATGGTTTTTGGTGCATGATTTTTAGGGTTTAAGATGGATAGATAAACAACTTTCTTTGGCTTAAATAACATTACCAGAACTTGAATTTTCTGTTTCGTTTTCCTGAAATATCCTTGAATCTCGGAAAGAACTAGGAGTGCTAATAAATTTATACGCATTTGTCACCATTTCATTTGCATACTTTGCTCACGAAACCATCTCTAATCTGGATTAATCAACCTTGGAGTGCTACTGGCCTTAAATGCAATCCACTCGTTTTTCCTCTCCCTTCTTTGACACTAATTAACTTGATTCAGTATTCGAGACTGCTGCCATTGCCTACTGCCATCTGCAATTCAATTAAAAATTAACATTTTAATTGCAAATTACTTTGTGTATACTTTATGGGGCGAAAGCACAGACACCGGCAGAGAAACTCCACTTAACTGGAGTAACTTCTTTCACTTCTGCCACCTGCAGCCTGCCATTTCCAGGGAAAAGCGGAAGTGGCAGCAGGCATCACCATCGGTTGGGGGGAGTGAAAGAAGCCGAAGTAGGAGCTCATTTCAGGGGCGTTTAATTTTATCATGCGCCAACAATTATGCAACTTGTTGGTTCACTGCCTCAAATGGCCAGGCCGTTTTCAATTTGTTGCCAATAAAACTTTTTCCATTTTGGTTTTCCCTCTCAGTTGCTTCCCCATTGGCCTGGCCAAATTGTTCTTTTCTGCTGGTACGTCTGCCTAGTCATAGTTTTGTGAGTGCTCCACAAAAAAAAAAAAAGTAAAAGAAATTAAAAGTTTATTGTAGGTTTTCCGAGTGGAAACAGTGCTGGGATAATCGCATTTCTCTTGAACATTTGTTTTATTTCCCTGGATTATGTAGATATAAACCTGCTCCATATTTACAAAGCAAAATCTGTGTAAGTCTGTAAGAAATGGAGGAGATACCTGTACTCGGATGTTCAGCCATTTTCTTTTGTTCATTTCGCTTTCCACTTAATAAATTCATAGATCCATTTGCTGGCAATTTGTTATTGATATCTCTGGCATGTCTGCTGTACGCTTTTCACTGCAGGGAAACCCGAAGGTAAAACGAAACTTAATCAAATGTGAAACTTTAGTGAGCACTTGATATGCATATTCGTATCGAATTTCTATTGGAAAATTCCATTTTTATTTGGGTATTTCTATGAAAAGAAGAATACTTTTTGTTGGCAGCGGTAGCGGTTGAAACGATGAGAGAAAATGCTATATTTTTTAAAGGAATTTAAAGGAAATTCTTGTGCTTTTTTGCAGTAAAACCTATGGGCAAATTTATCTAGTTTTTCTACGACTTTATTGCATTTAAGATAAAACCCGAATCTGCAGTACTTTAACATGTATTATTGTTCACCTTTTTTTCATAACCCCTCAAGCGGTGGCTTTCCTGTTAATTGCTTTTGTAGACAAATTATAAAAACCTCGACTTTGGCATTGTTTTGGGGCCGCCCTGAAACACTTCAAAAGCAGACAAAACCACGACGTAACCATGACCATGACTTTGCCCGCAAAAAAAACTCCTTTTTTTTGCCGACTCGCTGGGTCAGTTTTAATTTAACTTTGACATGCATCAGCTCAAAAATCCAATTACAAACACAAATGTAAACAGAAAGAGAGAGAGAGGGAGAGAGAGTCCTTTTTTTGTCTGTGTGTGTGTGTGTGTTTGTGAGAGACTAGAAAACCCATTAACGCCTTTTTGCCCTCCATAAAGATGAAGATTTATGAAACCATTAATTTTGGCCCAGGCGTTTGAGAAAAAATGTATACAAATTTTTGTGAGTGAGTGAGTGAAAAGTGCTAAGACCCATGGAAGCTGCAATGAAATCGTAGAAATGTCCAGTCAGGCGGGAAAACTGCGGCCGGTTGGTGGTCCGTCGACCAAACCCGATCGCAATGCCAATGAGGAGAACCAACTGGGCGCCAAGCCCAAGGGCCAAAGAACTGACAATCATCAGAGTCAACAGAAGATGCTGCCACATCCCAACTACATGGAACTGGAGTTCCTACCCACCGAACCCACGACTTCGGGACAGACCACTGCCTATCCGGATTTACCAGTTAGCTATGCTACTTGCTTGGTTGGTCCACCGCCGTATAGAGAACCACCGCCACCAACTCCACCGCCTCTTTCGCAAATGCCTTCGAGGCTGCTCCACTCCGCCCCCAATACTCCGAGTCGTGGCAAGGTCGTTCTGAGCAAAAAGGAGCGCAAGGAACTAAGCAAACAGTTGGGAATCGATGAATCCTCCATTCTGAGCAGCAGTGCCCAATCGAGTCCCTATAAAGGGCGAGTGAGTGAACTCAAAAACTGCATAGCTCGAGGGCTTTTTGCCACCCTTCATAGAGGTTCACAGAAGTCCTTGCAACAGCAAGAGGATAGACCAGTCAGTCAGGAAATATCACCACCTCCTCCGGCACCAGAATCAGCAAATAATAATGAAGATGTCGCTGATTACTCTGAGAAGCTAAAGAATCTGCCGGTGAGACAACGAAAGGCTGCCACTTCCCATATGGAAAACTATTGTCTCTTCGATCCTGTTGATTTCATCAATGAGAAGGCCATGAGATATCCTAGTTCCCAAGCTCATGGTTTGAGGGATCCGCTTTTCAGCTCAAGACAACACTTGGTCTGCGAAGATGAAGATGAAATGGTGCCGGAAGTTATATACGACAATGAGGAACTGGAACTGGAGGAGACTATCATTATAGAGACTTCAGCTATGCCGGAAGCTGAGTCGGAGGCTGAACCGACACCTAAGACTGCAGAGATCTTGGCCAGCTTTGACCACCACAACTACTTTATCATAGAACCAGGCGATTTCTCTATGGATATTGGCATTCCAAATCCTTATACCAACGAACAGCTGGTGAATGCCAAGCTAGAGCAGCAAAATCTGGAGAAGTTATTCAACGAACTGGAGAACACAACCAGTATGTCCAATAGTCAGGAGTCCAAGGATACGGAAACCACTTCCACAGCCCTTGTGGAATCCTCTACATCCACTAATTCTGCTAGTTCAGCAGGCAGTTGCTCTCTGGCCAATCCTGCCCAGCAGTCAATGAAGAAAAAGCTGACCTTTCTTAACCTTTCACCATTTCGAAGTGGTAAAAAGTCCAGCGATAAGAATACTTCTGAGCAGCAACGAGCTATCTCCGAGTTGGTCAGCACGGATCACATGTTGCACTTGCAACAGTTGTTGCAACAACAGCGAAAGGATCAGAGATCACACACAGTTCCCACGGAGTCCAACTATGTGTTGTTCAATCCTGGTCCAGTGCCCAGCCGGCATGTCCAGTATAAGATACGGAAACCACGACCTTTGTCAACTCACAGCGATGCGGATAGTGGATTTCTATCGCCCTGCTCTCCGGATGAAATGAGGGCCAATCCGGCCATCTTGGTGCTCCAGCAATGCGATAGTGTCCAGGGATATATGGAGGTGAGTTTGATATGATTTTAATAGAAGGGATAATCATAAAGTAAAACTGAAGGGTACGAAACCTGAAAGAGGGCAGGTACCCAGAGAAGTTATCTCTCTTTCAGTCTCATCTCTGTCTGAGCTTATTGAAGAACATTTTAAGCTCAGTTTGATGTTGGCTAAAAATCTTTTTTAATACCTATTTTCCATTGAGTTGTTCTATGCAAATCTGAGTCTTAATCCCCAAGTGCAACCCAAAAAGTGCCACCGAAATGGGGATAACCTTATGTCTCATTTTGGTCTTCTTATGACCACCACAATATTTCCCGGGCATTTAAGTAAGTTTCAGCCATTGCTTGTATAATCCTCTTACCGTAATGTGAATCGCAGCATTAACCATTGAAAATACCCGCACAGCAGGTCACATCAGAGCTTATCTATATGTATATATACAGATATATATATATAATTTGGCATATCTTAAGCCCGGTAATCATTGCGGGCTGTTTCCGATGTCGCACTTGTCGCCATTTGCCGGCTCACTTATCTTAACGAGCGAGCAACTTAACAAGTCTTATTATGCATCTTGAAACACCCCAGGGGAGGTGTTAGCTTACCCCCTCGCACAACCCCATTGCCGAAAAACCACCCACCAGAGGCAATGAACAAATGTCAACCCCCATGGCCAAAACGTTGGGTATAAATTATCAAAAAAAGAGAAGTAAGAGTGCAGTTTCCAGGCAGTACATTGCAAATGATTTCCCAGAATCGAGGGCTTTTTGGTTCTGCTGGATTGCATCTGGCTTTCCTTTCCATTCTCCCTTGCTCTTGTTTTCCTCAGTTCTGGCTGCCTCTGGGGAGCAATCAATCGTCGCGTTTTCACTGCTCGCTTCATTAGTTTTTCCTACCGCCGAACATTAGTTTGATTGTGTGCCCAACTGAGGGACAGGTTGAAAGAAAGACGGGGGAAAAGCCAGTAGGAAACAACAACCACACACCAGCTGGGTGTTTGTTCAATCTTAGCGACTTTTAATGGAATTGAATTAAAATTGTTGCCATGGTGTTGAGTGGCAAGTTGGGGGGATGTACTTATACGAGGGGAGGCCACACATAAGCTATGTCCTCCACCCATCTCCAATTTTCCCAGCCACAGGCATTTTCTATCATTTGCAAATTGAAATACGCGCTGTACATTTTTGCTTTGAGGCATGAGCTACCAAAAAAAAAGCTACCAAAACGAAGCAAGAAAGAAACTCTTCAGGCGATTTTTTGCTGTCTGGAACCATCTAATGAAACGACGGGCCAGGACGACAGGACATCAAGTGAAGCACACTTTTTGGCCCACTGGAGTGGCCTGCAAAGTGTCAAGTGCATTGCTTTTCATATCCTTGTGGGCGGTGGTGGTTGGTGGTCCATGATTCTTGCTTGGATAGATGGCCGATGGCCGATGGTCGTGATGTTGAGCTGCAAATGAAGGTTTCTCTTTCTCGAAAAAGCCAGGGGATGAAGGGGAGAAGTCCTGCAGCAAATGGGATGTAAATTGATATACGCGGGGGGCGGCTGGCAGCAAACAGGATCAGCTGGCGGGTTCAAAGGTAAAATGCTGTCATGGCTGCAATGGACGTAGCTGAAAGGATCAAATTAGTTTCACGAAAGATGGTTATGAAAAGGGGAAATGACAGGAAAAGTGGGTCACTCAAGAAGGTGGTATAAGCTGGCAGGAGAAAGTGTTTACTAAAAAGGAAAAAATGATGGAAAAACTTCTTTAAAATATATTAAACATTATTTTACACTGACCCGTAAGGCTATGATAAAAAACAGAGTTCCATTAAACTTACAAATTCCTTACAAAATAATACAAAAACCTCCCCAAAAGTATCTCATTTGTTTCCGAATTTATCTGAGCAGTAAAAACCGGAAGTTATAATCAAGATCCAAACAGCTGCAGCATCAAGAGTCAAGTACTGTAATTGTCTGCACAATTTTAGCTTGGGAACTTAAACCACAGTTTTCCACTTCACATATTCCACCCCCTCAAGTCCAGCAGCTAGCCAGCCCCCCATTCAACTCGAATCAACTCCAAATGCCACTTTCCATCAAAGTCAAAGCAAACAAAAACATTTTTGGAATTTATGCAAACGGCGGCTGGCGTTTGCATAACCATAAATTACTGTCCCTTTCCCCCACGTCCGTTTGCCTTTCGAGAATGGTCAACGGATTTTTGGCCTAGGTTGATGTTTCGGCTACTGCCTTTGGTCGAAAATTTGTTGGTAGTTCCCCTCCCTATACTAGAGATTGCTTGAGCGAAAGTCTCAATTGCAAATTGCAAAACAGCACCGAGGCATGCAATTTAGCTAGCCATACAGACACCCTCTGAATTTGCCGGAGTTTTCCGAAAGAGAACTTGTCGCGAGGCGCTAAGCTGTCAACTGTCAGGCATAGTTGTGTGTCGTCCTTGCGACAGGATGCGAATGCTGCGGATTCTGCACTCATACACCCAAAAAGGGGTGGCACCCAGAAAACGTTTACCCTTCCGGAGAGCAGGGAGCGGACCGGGGTGGTTGTTATTCCGCGGGGGAGGATGCATCCATCCAGGGGATGGCCATTCGCTGGAAGTCGCGTGTCGTGCGGCTACTTTATAGATCCCCAGACCCACACACACCCACCATCACCCTCTTCCCATCTCAAAACCCCTCTGATTAGTCCAATAAGTTGTAAAAAGTGTAGCTATAGCTTCTGCTTCCTGTGATGCATTCCCTTGGTGATTATCAGATGTTTTGGGCGGCGCGAGGGTTGGGATTTCATTTCGATAACTTTTTGATTTATGACCGGGCAATAAATGTTCAATGCATTTTATAATTATGTTGCGCCCCCAGCGACAAATGAACGGAAAATGCCAATGCCATATGTGCGAAATTGTACATAATTATGAATTGGATTTTTACTTGTTTTTTGCACGAAAAATTATGTTTCATTTGTTGCAGTTCGACAATGCACTGTTCGAAATGGAAACTATTAACTATTGTTAAAAATGTTTAACAATGTTAGGCTGTTTTTATACCATTTTTAGTATGGGTATGCCTTTCCAGGTTAATTAATGATAAGATAAAAATGCTAAATAATTTTTAACTAAAACATTTCTCAAGCCATCAAGGGAAAAACCTTTAAAAAAAAAGGAAATTTAAAGTGCAGCACATTAAGCAAAACCTAAAGGCTAAAGGCTAAGAGCTGTAATAAAAAAGAACCATTTAAAATGGTTAATCATCTCAGCTTTTAATGTATGGGGCTCACGTGAAACCATTTTCCATTCGCATTTTCAGCCAACAGAAAAAAAGCTGTAAAAAAAAGAAGAACATTAACAACAAAAGCCTGCTTCATCCATGAAATAATAATAAAAAACAAGAGAAATTATTTTCTCTTTCGCATTTAACAATTAAGCGAGCATGGCTGTCCTCGATAAGGAACTTGCAACTGCAACTGTCAATATTGTAAAAGCTGCGACTCATTGCATGGCATGTTTGCCCCTTTGGGGCATTCCTGCTTTCCACTTTCCATACCAACAAAAGCGAAGCAGATTAAGCTGCAATTTATAGAGGAAATATTTTTATTTCATTCGTAATTATATTGGCGGAGGAAAATAATAATTTTAATTTTAATTTTTCTGCATTAATTCGTCGTTCGGCCAGTCGTCCTTCGAGGCATTATCCAGCTGGCGGCACCAGACTTCCTTTAATGGACGTTGGCATTATTAATGCCACAGTTTGCTGCACATGTGATGGTGAGATGGCGAGATGGCGACATGGCATCCTCTTCCTTTATTTCTTTCGTTCATTTTCCGACTCGAAATTCCTTTACTCTTAAATGCACATTTCATATTTTTCCGGCACACTTAAAGTTTTCAATTTGCCGCACTATAAGCCACCAAAAACCAGTTGGGGAAATGTCCTTTGCTGCAGGCCTCGGGTTTTCCCGTATCCATTTTATTTACATGGACGGAGGCTCCGTCGACGTCACTTAGTGGCCGCATGCGGGACATTAAAAGCAGTCAGCCAGGACGAAGACTCCTCCTACTACTACCTCTCCCTGCTCCCTGCTCACCACATTGCAAAATGCAGCCCTGACAGCTAAATGCGTTGCACTTATGCTTAAAACATGTCAGGCCGTCCAGACAGCACTCAAACAGACGTAGAAAGAAGCTCTTCGAAGAGGGACTTTCCCCCAGTCCCGCCTTCTAAATGATAGTTAGAGTAATAGACCGGCAGAATATAGAACAGAAGCCGAAGATTAGGTTCTCAGGGGAAATGGTTCTCTAAAGGACTTGGCATGTGCGGGAGATAGTTTTTAAGGAAAGTAAGTTACTTTAAGTAAGAGTGGGTCATCTTTAAGGAAAATGAAATGTGAATAACAAATATTATTTCTTTCGTCTAAAGATAATCTCAATATGCTAGCTCCTATAGCACACCTGAGCTAGAATTTAAAGTCATACTTAAAAGAAACTGCTAACGAGTTTAAAACTTGTCAAACTTTTACACTAAATATATCCCCAAACGACTCGAAATGGTGGAAAGTAAGCGGCAAGAAGAAGTTTTAAATTTAAATTTAAAATAGGATCGTCTGGAAGGCGACTTAGTTGCTTTTGGCTTGGCCAAAACAAAACATCAAGTCCTATGCATTATTTAACAATAATCGTGACAGATTTATAATGTCCCCAGTTCCTGTTTTGCTTCCTGGTTTCCTATTTCCTATTGCGAGAATGCATCAGACCAGCAATGTTGAAAAGGGAAAAGTTTTAGGTTTTATTTTTTTCCCTTTGCTTATGGGATAATCGCTGGAGCGGAGCTGGGAAAGTTTCCTGGGCCTCGTTCCTGGTTCTTTTTAGGGAGCTGTGAAAAATTATAGCCATAATTTTTGGCCACTAACTGCCAGACTGGGCAGGCTTCTACGGAGGCTTGCAGTCGGCACTTTTGCTGGCGCTTTCGACCAGTTAATGCATATTTTAAACTGCTCTTACCATGGCTATG